AAAGAAACATGTGCTCGAAAACCTGAAGACGGGGAGGCTAAGATCTTGAAAGGAGATTTCTGGGAGGTGTAGCTTTGGCAGACCCCACTACAAAATTAGGGAATCTCAGGGGATCAGAGAGGTTACAGATACTCAAATGATCCTTTCAGACTCTCCGCAAATTTTATAAAACTCCACTTCAAATATTAGAATACCAGAAAACTGTACATTATGTTACATCATAGCAAATTTAGACAGAATTGGAATTCTAGAAAAAAATAAAAGAGCCAAGTATGTTAATCAAATTTCTATGTACATCAAAGGCACAGGTTCCAGCAGGTTCTTTGTGAATTTGCATTCTGATGAGAATTAGTCCTTAGTGCAGCTCCTGAAAGTGTCTAAACTATTTCAAAATTAGAGGCGTATACTGGAAGAGAATAAATTGAATTTTCACTTCAACTTCTTTGCAATTATAGGAAGCTATTTACATTATAGGCATCAGATAAAATCATTCTCATTCACTGAACAGCAAAATTCTCCTGCCATTAGCAGGCATGTCATTAGCTACACTCTTTGACATTCATTATCTCTCCCCAGCAATATTCAATTTATACCCTTTATAATAACTCTTCCCTACATTAAATCGATACCAAGATATTGCCCATGTATTCATGTTGTGCTAAAGAGTATAAATTGACATACGTTGTATTAACAGTTCAGTTGAATTTCACTTTAAGAGGAATGTGAAAACTGGGAATTAAACTTCAAATTTTAAAAAAACTGACTTTTTAGTTATAGTTTTAGGAAGCATGGAGTTGGTAAAGCAAACTCACTTATTCATCCACTTTTATATATTTCTGTAGCAACAACTTGCTTAAAATAATCCCTTTAAATATCTTCATTATGCAGGTTTTAGAATACAAAAGAAATCAAAATTCAACATTTCTTTTTCTGTTGTTTTTGAGTTGGAGTTCTGCTCATGTCACCCACGTTGGAGTGCAATGGCACGATCTCAGCTCACTGCAACCTCCACCTCCCTGGTTCGAGCAATTCTTCTGCCTCAGCCCCCCGAGTAGCTGGGATTATAGGTGTGCACCACCATGCCTGGCTAAGTTTTGTCTTTTAGTAGGAGGTTTCACCATGTTGGCCAGGCTGGTCTCGAACTCTTGACCTCAAGAGATTCACCTGCCTCAGCCTCCCAAAGTGCTGGGATTATAGGTGGGAGCCACGGTGCCCAGCCAAAATTCAGCATTTCGAAAGCAAAGATGATTCCTCCCCTCGTCATCAATGAGACCAGGGCTACAGAACACGTTCATTCTGGGGGCATCAGCACGTGGAGGAAGAGTGAGACGCTTCCGCTATCACCCCTGCAAGAAACCGCTGAAGCCCCACCACCTCCACCTGCTTCTCCACAGAATGCATCGGCCCCTTCACTCTCCCCCCAGACTCACCCCAACTCAGAGCCCTGCCAGCTCCATCCTCTGCCACGTGGCCAGCAGCTCCCAGCTTCTTGTCAAGTCCCCCCTTCCTTCTCCATTCCCAGGCTGGCTGGCAAATCGGATCCAAGGAAGAGCGACCCTTCTTTCAGCAGATTTGTGAACGGCACGAGGCCCTGGTGTTGAGACGCCCGGGAGACAACCCTCCATCCTTCTCTTCGAGACAGACAACGCCAAAGTGTCATCCGAGTTATTTCCTTGTATTAAAAGTTAAACCTTTTCCATCTTTTTCGTACCCTAGAAGCAAGAGAGAATTAGACAATATTCAGGAACTACAGTCACCTTCGCGGGGGTGACAGTGACCCTGGTTCTACAAGGTAGTTGCGGGTAATGGGCTCAGAAAAAGATACCACATGACGACACTAACTGCTGTCTCCACGGAACAGGAGGGAGCTGTGGGCTATACTTTCCAATTGTCTGAGTGTGTGAAAGTTTTCATAATAAAACTTTGGGGAGCAAAACTATTTTCACTTTAGAAAAGTAAGACAAAGCAGAAAAATGCATTTTTAAGTCCCCTATCTGACCCAGGAGAAAATCACAGTGAAAAACGTGATACAGAATGCCAGGCCTTTGTGTTCTGAAGAGTGAGTGGCTTACCATCACACTGCCGCGTGGCTGGCTTCTAGGTCACAGCGTGTTATAAGCGCTTTCCAATCCAGGTTATCTCTGCAACAGCATTTTCAACTGGCTCAGAGCCTTTTATTACATGAAGAGTAAAGCCCTTCGTGGCCACAACCTGTGGTTCCTTTTCCCTGAAGTCAGGCTAAAGAGAAGACACCACGGGAGCCCTAGCTTGCACGGCAGGATGCCGGGGTCTGTAATGCCGGTTTCTGGATCATGTGGAATGAATCTCACAAGTAACTGGCTCTCGGACTGACTCTTAAGGAATGTTTGGGAAAAGAGCCATTGTGGAAGAACCTATGGGGATTGAGTTTACATCCCTGGACCTGGGTTTCAACGTCTGGAAATGCTCTGTAGGCTTCCATAGTCAGGTGTGCCCTGGCAGCCAGCAGAGGCATCTCCTGAACGCTTGAAAGAAAGGAACTCTCTGGCCCCACCCAGACCCAGTGAGTTAGGCCAGGCCTGGCATGAGATCCCCAGGCAAGTCACAGGCTGGTCTGCAAGGTCCCTTGAGCTCCAGGCACCTGCGCGTCTCCGGGCAAAACCTCCCTCGGGAAGTACAGAAAGCTGCAGGTGTAAGTGGGGATGGATCTTCCGCCTCTGCCTTTGAGGGAGCGAATCCCAGGATAAATGCCCCTTTTCCTATGCCATTTTCCACCAGTCCTGGTGAGTCGGCTTCGCATGGCTTCCTTCCAGTGAAAGCAGGCAAAAGGCTGGACCAGTTAATCCAGCAGCACTTTGAGTTTTAGGGTGTGTCGTGTAGGTTAGTGATTTGTGCTCTGCAGAGAATCCCCAGGGAGAGCAAAAAGAGCAGGTAAAATCATCAGTTTGGCCAGAAGCAGCAGCAGATGCCCCATGAGTGAGCTCCAGGAAAGAGAGCCCCACCTGGGAGCACCCACGCTGAAAGCTAACGATGGGGAGACTTGGTATAAATGGAGAAGCGATGAGATGCTTAGATGGTCTGCCTCCGGCCTGGTGGGCAGCCCCGGCCCCACGTGCTGACTCAGGCACAGAAAAGCCACGTACTGGTACTGGGCACGCTCTATGGAGTCGTGCTGAATTGTTGCTCCAGCAAATAAAATCTAACAGAAATCAGTGGGCCCAGGGCGTAGCGGTAAGACATGGGTTCCAGGGGATTCCTGTGTGGTTTCGAGGATCCCTAGGAGCTGCCAAAGCTATCATTTACAAAGCAGTGGCCACGCTCACTGCAGACTCAGGAGTGGGCGCGCCCACAGGGGAAGACGAAAAGCCAGACAGCTCGAAGGCCTGGAGACAGGAGGTGTGAGGTTTTCCCCACACCTTGACAGGTTATTTTACTTGACTAGTATTTGAACACAGTATTTTATTTGACTAGTCTAAATGCAATTTTAAAATGCCCCTATGTTTCTTTAAGTTGCTAACTTTTTCCCTTGATAGAACTATATTGCAGCCAGTCATGGTAATTCACACCTGTAATCCCAGCACTTTTCAGCAGCCACGCAGAAGGACGGCTTCAGCTCAGGAATTGGAGGGTGTAGAATCATGCCACTGCACTCCAGCCTGGGTGACAGAGCAAGAGCCTGTCTCTAAAACACACATACACACAAGCCAGGTGTGGTGGCTTGCGCCTGTAACCGCAGCTCTTTGGGAGGCTGAGGCAGGCAGATCACCCCAGGTCAGGAGTTCAAGACCAGCCTGGCTAACACGGTGAAACCCCATCTTTACTAAAAATACAAAAATTATCTGGGCATGGTGGTGGGCATCTGTAATCCCAGCTACTCGGGAAGCTGAGGCAGGAGAATCACTTGAACTCAGGAGGCAGAGGCTGCAGTGAGCCAAGATCACACCACTGCACTACAGCCTGGGTGACAGAGCGAGACTCCATCTCAAAAAAAAAAACCCACATATATACACACGGTTTATTCTTTACTTGTTAATATTTTTACTATTTAACCAAATAAAGTCATCGCAATTAAGAACCGTTTGTAGATTAATCCTTCCTACCTCACTAAGCTGTGGCATGCTGACTTAGAGCGCACTCAGAAGTGTAGCGTTAGCATTACACATATGCTGGGCACATGCACTGGTGAGGTTAGTAGGTGTCAGCATATTCAGGAACTCGTGACCCTCTCACCGTCTCCAGGAGGGGAGCCATGTCTTCCTAGCTGCCACCATCTTCCTGTGTGGCCTGTGTCCACGCAGCCTCTTCCTACGTAACATGCACCTCACAGCACTGCCAGGACGTAGCTGCCCACAGTTCACTAAAAATCACTTAATCCAATGACAGAACACATACGGATATGTTTTTTATCTAACAGAGTTCACTGACACGTTACAGAGTCTTTAAAAGAATTTCAGTTAAATATATAGTTGCCCTCAGTATCCTTGGCGGGGACTGGTTCCTGAGCTCCCTGCAGATACCCAAATCCACGGATGTTCAAGTCCTTTATATAAAGTGGCTGCGTGGACACAGGCCACACCGGAAGATGGTGGCAGCTAGGAAGACATGGCTCCCCTCCTGGAGACGGTGAGAGGGTCACGAGTTCCTGAGTATGCTGACACCTACTAACCTCACCAGTGCATGTGCCCAGCATATGTGTGATGCGAACGCTACACTTCAGAGTGCGCTCTAAGTCAGCATGCCACAGCTCAGTGAGGTAGGAAGCATTATTCTACAAACGGCCGCCCTTCTAAACGAAATTTCTCCGCATACCCAAGGAGGGTGTCCTCGCCTTGGCATTCCGTCTCGTCTTTGCATTTCCTTCATGAGTTGGGGATGGGGCTGACTGAGGAGCAACTCCGCAGTGAACGCTCTGCACAGCGAAGCCAGAGCTCTCCCCCAGTGGAACCCACTCCCTCCATGTGCTGTTTCTGCTTCTGTTTGACTGGCCCAGTTTTGAAGCTGTTTTGTTTTTTTCCCAACAGTTCTCGGAAAAATCAGGAGTGCCGTTGGCAGTGCTCAGCTGCTCATGTCTCAGAAATGCCAGCAGTTTTACTGGCTTTGCCAGCAGAATGTGGTAAGTGAATCCTCAGAGAGCCCCTGTTCCCCGTAACCAAGCTCGTGCGCATCGCTCCATAGGCCCTCGCTGTGTTTGCCTTGTCAGAGCTCCTATCAGTATGCAGAGTATCACACCCAGTCGTCATAGAAGATACTTCCCACCCTGGGGACAGAGACGGCACGGCCCCGGTTTAAACGTGGCACTGAGACAGGGAGGCTGCCAGGGGAGCAGGGGGCAGGAAGACGGGGCCGCAGCAGCGCGGGAAGAGGCTGTGTCTCTGCCACTGGATGTCCCACCAGAGCATCTTAGAAGAGGAGAAACCATGGACATTTCTATATGCCTAATGTCACAAATGAAGAAACTGATCTGAGGTGGCTAGAAAAACACCTCAGTACAATGAAGAAGAGATTTGCAGATAACTTAGCCTTTGTATTTTATAGATGGTAGCCACATAAATATACCACGAACCACATGCATTATTACAGCTGGTGTTAAACTTGGTTATTCCTGACAAGCAAAGAGAGAGAAAACCTACATACGTATTTATATTTACATAACTTACATACGTGCGTGTTGATATACATTTATATATCCTTATAAATACATAATGCATGTTAATATATAAATGTATATTTGCTATTCCCAGCAGAGCAGAAAAGCTCTTGTATACATCCCATATATATGATTATATATTAGAATCATACATTCATCTATGTTTATATATACATATCTATATAAACATGTATAGATGTATTTATATATAAACATATTAACATGTATATGAAACTTATACTTAAATATACACACCAACATATAACATGTTAACTACTTTATATATACAAATGTATAGTATATATAAAATTATATAGTGTGTGTAGGCAAATATACAGTATATACAAAATATATGTAAGTTTACATATTAATATATTTTTGTTATATATCACCTACGCATACGTACAAATATATTTTATACATACTGTATAAGTTTACATATACATGTTAATATATTTTAGATATACATTTGCCTACACACATGTAAATATACTTCCCTTAGCTGACTAAGGTATTCGCTCTACTTTGAGAAATAGCTAAGTAACAGTTATGCTAGTGAAGAGGCTGTTTTACAATACATACATTGATTTTTTTTCAGACCAAACATTTTCAGTAAAATGCAAATAGGTCTCCACTAGGCCTCTCGTTGGTAGCCATGGTGCCAGGTGTTTTGACTATATTTTCTTTGGCTTTTTCATGTGCAAGGAGACATAAGAATGTTCTTCCACATCAAAGGACATACAAGCAAGCCAGAGTTGCATCTCACATCTTTTCATCAGGATCATTCAAAAGTATGCGTTCTCTAACACATACTCTAATCAGCCCCATTGACATTCACCAGGAATTTAAAGAGTCATCGACATGTCACTCTGACAAAGTCATAGTCATTTAAAAGGGGGAAACAGAAAGGTTTTGAGTACCTTGAAGGAAACTTGTAGCTGTGTAAACACTGAGCTATCACGGTACCTGTGAACGTTCCTGCCTTCTCTGTAGTATCTGTTTATTCCCTTTAAAGGAATTGATTCTGGCCAATGACAAACTCTTGTGTAATATTCTGCAGGCTCGGGTGAGCCTGGCCAGGCACTGTCTTTAGGAAACTCGTTCAGAGCTTCCCAGATGCAGCCCACACTGCGCCTTCAGGCTGCTAAGTGTTCCTTTCTGCTTTGCCAGAAATAGCTAATATTGGGCTTAAAATCATTCTTCCTAATATCGCTATGCCTTTGGAGTTTTGAAATCGTGGGCTTGGCTACATCATTTTCTTTCGACTTCTATTCAGGATCAGTACACAAAATCTCTGACCTGTTTGCCGGGGCAGAGTGGCATGGGGAGGGAGCGGTGGTGGCACAGACAGGCCCGGCGGAGGGGAGTGCTGAAGCCGCTAACAGGTGCTTTGCTGGGCACAGCCGAACTGTTCACAGCTCAGAGCAGCAGCGCCGCCTGCTGGAGGCTGTCGGTAGGTAACTAGGCTGTAAGTCCAACAGCGACCCTAGAACGCGTCAGAACCTCACCCTGAGGTTGAGGTTGGACCACAGGGAGCAGAGTCTCTCGGGATCAGGCTGTGCAGGTGGCTCGTGATGCAAGCAGAAGCCACATAATACTGGAAAGATAGCCCGGCGTGGTGGCACGCACCTGTAGTCCCGGCTACTCAGGAGGCTGAGGCAGGAGAATTGCTCGAACCCGGGAGGTGGAGGATGCAGTGAGCGGAGACAGCACCCCTGCACTCCAGCCTGGGTGACGGAGCCAGGCTCCATCTCCAAAAAATGCTGAGAAGAATATTCCCTCAAAGCGTGGGGACTGATTGCTGTGCTTGTGAGACCAGCAGTTCGACGTCCTCAGTCTCATTTGGACCCACTGAGCCTGCCGCTGAATTTTAACTCATCCAACCCCGGGGTTGGGGGTGTGCCCGAGAACCTACCAGTACACAGAGAGCTGCTCCAGGCTGCAATACAGGACACAATGGACACTGGATGCCAGAGCCACAGAGCTGGAAGAATTTACCACGGCCATTTAACAAGGAATAAGGCCCTGCCATTGGCTTTTATTGTATGATAAACCACTGACTTTTTTTTTTTAACTATAAACACCTTATCGTCTCTGAATCTTCAGTGGGTACAGATGCAACCGCCTCCACCACCAAAAGAGAACAGAAAAACACAAAAAAATCTTGACCACGCCAGGCCCATGCCAGGCTGTGCCCGTCCAGCCCAGCGTGTGGTATGCATGAGCCCAAAGGAAGGGAGTGTGGCTGGCCAAGGAGAGGGGCATGAGAAGGCAATTCCTGCTCTCAGGCCAGAGAAGCCACTCCGCCTCCCCCATGCCATCAGGCACAGCCATGCCCAGCCCTACAGAAAGAGGGGACGTTCTTAGGTTAGCAGAGACTTCCGGAAGCCAGGCAGGCACCACCCCCCCAGTGTCTGAGCAGCTTCTCACCCAGCCTGCCCTGCTCCGCGGCTGCAGCTCCTGGCATCCCTCGACTGACTTCAGGGCAGAACGTGGGCTGGTTCCCAGGCACTGTGGCTGTCGCGCCCACAGAGGCTGAGCTCAGGCTCCCGGGGTTCCTGGGGAGCCAAGTGCCTGCCCGGGCTTTGAGCAGCCAAGGCTGCCCTCGTGTGGCCGCAGAGAAGAACGGACTCGGCCGAGAGGAAGGCAGCCAGGGACCCCAGTCACGGAGCTGTCCGTTCAGCTTTCATCCATGCTGCTCTTCCTGGGGGCACGGCTGCCCTCAAGGGGGTACCAGAGAAGGGGGTGGGAGCCGAACCATGATTGTTTTGATGTGGATGTCGAACCAAACAGAAGTTCAGGTCATGCTGAGTGTGCACTGCTGAACCCGTAAGCAAATCCAGTTGATTGTCCACCCACCAGAAACTCCCCTCTGTTGAGCCCCCACTGAATCAAGGGAACCGTTCCTGCAAAAGTTATTCAGATTTCAACATAGGCAGCCAGCCGGGCATGCTGGCTCATGCCTGTAATCCCAGCACTCTGGGAGGCTGAGGTAAGAGCATCACTTGACCCCAGGAGTTTGAGGTCACCCTGGGCAACATAGCCAGACCCCATCGCTACAAAATTAAAGAAATCAGCTGAGTGTGGTGGCCTATGCCTGTGGTCCCAGCTACCTGGGAGGCTGAGCAGGCAGCTCTCTTGAGCCCAGGAGGTTGAGGCTGCAGTGAGCCACAATCATACCTGCACTCCAGCCTGGGTGACAGAGCGAGACCCTATCTCAAAAATAAAGACGTAGATGTAGGCAGCTGGTAGAAATCGTGTATCAGGCACACTGCAGAGAAACCAAGCACATCTCTGGGCCCCACGCTTCCCGGGGCTGCAGCCCAGAGCCTCACCTGTGCCTCTGCAAGTGGGAGCCGCTTGGTAAGAGCATCCTGGTCCTTGGCGCGTTACATTTGTAAGACGTCCTTGCCATTAGAACGAGAGCCGAGAGCCGTCAGAGAACACACAGGTCTAGGACAGGTTCCGAGCTGGCTCCTTGCCGCCAGCACCACCGCAGGCTCACAGAACCCTGTCCCTTCTGAATCACCCACAGGTGACCAAAAAACACAGGGTCCTACTGCTTTTATGAGCTGTCAGGCATTTAGAAACTCTCCCGTCAGCCCCATTCGCGGCATTTTCAGCGTGGAATAGTGAACGGCTGTGCTACCTATTTTTAAGCCACCAGCAAATCCTTGTGCTGAAGTAAGCTGTCACCGCGGCATGGCACGAGACCTCAAATATTTGCCTCGGTGCAGAATCAGCCAGGCTTCTCCCTGATCTGCCTCGTGACAGGCGGGTTAGGCCTCCCCAGCCCTGCGCCCGCGGGAGACTCTCCCAGATCTGAACGCCCTGTGTGTATTCCCAGGACCCCAGCGCCATGCCGAGGCCCACGTCGCAGGACCTGGCCGGCTACTGGGACATGCTGCAGCTCTCTGTCGAGGACGTCAGCATGAAGTTCGACGAGCTGCAGCGGCTGCGGCTCAACGACTGGAAGATGATGGAGTCTCCGGAGAGAAAGGTAAGGGCCCCGGGCAGCGCGGCTCCCAGCAACACCCTTTCCCACCGCAGTAACCCCCTGCTGCAGATACAGCAGATGACGACGTTCTCAGTCTTCTGCTGGCAATATAGGCGCAAATTTTCCTGTATGTACGTGTGTCCGCACGTGTGTGAGCATGTGCTTGTGTGTGCACCTGCCCCAAGTGGGGCAGAATTGCAGCTTTGGGCACAAGTGTCAAATAACTGGGTCTTTCAAAGAGACACCAGCCAAGATCACAAGCCAATCTGCAGCCTCATTCGTGACAGGGGTCTCACCTCTGAATTATTTTCATCAAACTTATTCTGATTGTGTAAATATTAAGCTGGTTTCGCACGGGGAACGTTTTAGGCCTGATTAGGCACCATCTCCAATTCAACATACCTTCTAGTATGGCCGCTACCGGCAAGGCGCCATCTTATACCTTATTCAACAGTTTGATGAATTAAGCTTCCTACAGATCAATCAGCCTCAGCCCTTAAAATAGCCTGAAGTTTCCCACTCGATCTGAACCCCCGCGTTTCACTTCTTCCATGATACTGTCATCGGAGGAACTGGTAGATAGTTCCGAGTTAGCAGCACAGACAGACTTCCTCACGTGTTTTAGGCATGTCCTGAGGAACCACAATTGGATTTTTCTAGACAAACGTTATCGATTAAATGATAAAATCCAGTCAGCACACATTGGGGAAGCAGGGAGACACATCTGGGTCACCAGACGAGAGCCAGGGCTGCTCGCCCTCGTCATCTGCTTCTCTCAGAGGGTGACCCTGGTCGCGAGTGGAGTTCCAGGCTAGTTGCCACCGACCCACGGGTTCCCTCTCATCCCAGGTGACGGGAGAGCAGGTGGTAGTGCACAGGGTCCACGTAAGCTGTGTGTGGGCCTTGGCAGGTCCAGGTAAGCCACGGTTTGGATCAGAGGTGAAGGAGATCATCGGTGGTGTTCCTGAGCAAGAAGTCTGTTCCAGCGGAACGTCCTTTAGTCCAGGTGCACGCAGTGGGTCCGTCTGTTTCCATTCTTTGGTCACTGAGAGCTAATATGAGCCCGTCTACCCAAGCTGCATGTAGAGTATAATCCTCAAAACCAGAAAGCGAGCAGGTCTCCAGCACAGCGGAGGCCCCATGCCTGAAGAGGAGGCCCGCCCCTCCCAAACACGGCATCTTCACCTTCCAGCGGTGGGCCCCTGCATGGCACCTGCTGGACGCTCCTACAGGGCCACACCTGCAGGCTGGGGAGCTCCTTTAAAGGGGGGACCCTCAGCCGGGCGCGGTGGCTCAAGCCTGTAATCCCAGCACTTTGGGAGGCCGAGGCGGGTGGATCACAAGGTCAAGAGATCGAGACCATCCTGGTCAACATGGTGAAACCCCGTCCCTACTAAAAATACAAAAAACTAGCTGGGCATGGCGGCGCATGCCTGTAATCCCAGCTACTCAGGAGGCTGAGGCAGGAGAATTGCCTGAACTCAGAAGGCGGAGGTTGCAGTGAGCCGAGATCGCGCCATTGCACTCCAGCCTGGGTGACAAGAGCGAAACTCTGCCTCAAAAAAAAACCAAAAAAAAAGGGGGGGGACCCCCACAAGTAGTGCTGATGTGTACGCCTCACAGGCCCATGGTGCAGGGACACCAAAAGACGAAAGAGACCCTCTTGTTTCCTCTTCTCCTGGCATCCCCTGAACTATGAGGACAGTTATCACATGCTGAAAACAGGAATTACTTGTTAAAGTAGCTGAAGGTTGCAGTGAACTCATCCCCTATTGTTTTAGATGGATGCCAGGAAGTCAGATAAGAGTCATTGCTTCTGGCCTAGTCACGTAAAATAAGCCGAAGGAAAAAGTTCCAGACGCCAACGCAGCCTTCTTGCCACACACACTCATGCAGCCAGCCTCCTCATACAACTGCCCGCTGTCTGAGCCTCTCTGAGCTCCCCTGGGAAATATTCTACAGGCTGAATACAGACACAAGCAGAATTTTTGTGTTTTTCTCCCCAAAAACTAGATACCTGCTTAGGAAAGGAAAGGAGTTCTGACGTCTTCTGTCATGCGCTCTTTCCCGGGAAGGGAACAGCAGGCTATGGAGGGTCCCCACAGGGCTCCGTCCCGAGCGGGACAGGGCAAGCCCCGCTGTCTCTAGGAATAGTGTGAACCGCACAGCCGTGAACACAGACCATTCGCGAGAGCAGCTGCATCACCCGTCGCATTTGTTGCAGAATTGTGAGATTTATCTTTCTAAAAAAGCACACAACGTATTTTAGCGTGACTCACCTGAGCATCTGAGCTAAGGGTCAAAAATACTTGCATCTTTTTATAAAGCAACTGAGTAGTGGTTTTATAAATATCGTCCGTGTCAATGAGATTTTAGGCCAGTAGGAGAATTCGGCCAGTGTTTCCCGAAACGCCCACTCAGGTAAGATGCTTTTCATGAACACACTGGAATTCCAGTCTGCTGGAAACCCTCCAGTGTTGAATAGGGACGTCCAGCGATGTGTCCAAAATCCCTGTGATGCTCTGAGCTTGGCCATGCAGGTATTGGCCAGTGCTCGGAGAGGGTGACATAGGGCTTCTGAAGTGCCGGAACTGGGCAACGATGTCAGGATAACTCAGTGACTCCAGACATGCGAGGTGTGCACGTGCAGAAAGTATTTTCCTGATTTATGAACACTGCCACAAACGCCTCTGGCCCCTGTGCAGAGTTTGAGGGAGCTTATGCAAATGATGCACTGTGCGGAAGGCAGACCTATGGCCTGGGAGTCAGGGTCCAGGGGAGGCGTGGGAAGGGAATGAAGGATGCCACCGAGAGGGTTTCGGTCAGGAAGGGCATGCCCCGACCCCGGGGCCGCCGAGCTCACAGGCTCTCAGGACCCCCCTCTGACCACCCGCCCATGTTGACTTGTGATGCTTTTCAGGAAGAAAGAAAGGTCCCGCCTCCAATACCAAAGAAGCCCCCCAAAGGAAAATTTCCCATCACAAGAGAGAAATCCCTGGACCTGCCAGACAGACAACGTCAGGAAGCCCGGAGACGACTCATGGCCGCCAAGCGTGCGGCGTCCTTCCGGCAGAATTCTGCCACCGAGCGCGCGGACAGCATCGAGATCTACATCCCCGAGGCCCAGACCCGGCTCTGAGGACGGGGGCGGCCACCTTCCCCTCGGCTGTGTCCGCTTTTTCACAAAGCCCTTGTACAGTTCGTTGCCTCCCCGGTGGTTTCTGTCTCGTTCCTTCCACTGATCACGCCCCTGCGGTTCTGCCCCTTGTGCCGTGAACACAGTGGCACGCGGCCGGTGGCCTCGGAGTCCACGGAGCCCGTGGCGGGGCCGACTCGCGCTTTTCTCCACTGGTGGCCTGGCTCGCGGTCGGCTCTGAGGGACAGGTGTGGCGAGACCCGACTTCTCCCCCGTGTTCCCCGAGGACGGCGAGAGACGCCCCTGGAGCTGAAACCCAGCTTACATTTTGTTATTTCTATTTTTATAAATTGTGTGATAATTAGAGGTAAGAATAACACATAACTATAAACGGGTGCATCTCACCACTCCCTAGAGGCATTAGACACCCAAGTGGAAGGTGCTACATCCTGAAGTGCAGGAAGGAGAGGCCCATTCCCCTCGCATCCGCAGGTCCTCTCCCGCGTCCGGGCCGGCTGCCTGCTCCGCCCTTCTCCTGTTTGTCACAAGCAGAAAACATTAGGCTCCTCGCGTGAAGCTTACTGTGATGGAAAGTGATCTCTCCAACCACCAAACTCCCCGCCACACGGTTCTCCAAAACCCAGGGGTTGACAAGTCTGAACCCACTGAAAATACCCAGCACAGCATCTGCACATTCAAAGCAGAAGCTGAGTGTTTTGAGTGTTCCCACGAGGAAGTCACCACAGAGAGAGGAGAGCCTTAGAGAGGGCTGGGAGCATGAAGGGAAGGAAATGTCCTTACTTCTATGAAAGTCATTGTATTTTTTATTTCTTTGTAACTTAAAAACAACCCCCAGTATTTTCCTTAAGTTTCACTATTTATGCTACATGGGATTTTTTTAATGTATGTATATATATTCTCAAATTGCTCTATCAGCTGACTTTCCAGGGTATCCTTAAAAAAAAAAAAAAAAAAACACAAAAAACAAAAAGTTTGCTTGTTTAAAATGACAGTTGTGATGCTGTAAAAAGTTTAAGAAATATGAATGTGAGTGGTAAGTATATCTCAGTTTAAATGGTAAAGAAGAAATGTAGTTTACATTTGTACTTTTCCAGAATTATTTTGTCCTATGCAGTATTGCTAAAGAATAGATTCCTTGCCTGTGTTAGACATGAAGGAAAAAGAGGTCACCTGTTGCGATTTCCAGCTGTGGAATTCAAAGAAGTAATTAGTGTTCACGACTCTCTGGTCGGCACCAGAGGAAGCTAGGAACAGCTCTCATTAATAGGCTTTCCGTGAGTGTAATGAAATTCAGCCGCCACGACCACGGTTCCCACATAACTTCTGTTTCGCCATTCAGAACAGTCTCCAAAGGAAAAGCCTCTCCGATCTTTCCACGGGGTTACGGTTTCACAGTTCTCATTATTACTCAGAGTAAAGGCAGGCCTGCGATTCCAGACAGATGTTTCCACCCAAATACCAGCTCTTCCTACCCAGCTTCACGGAGTCCCGTGTCCTTAGCCGCAGGCAGAACGGCTTTCCACGACCCGCAGCACTTTGTCTCTTCACTTGATTTGCACTTTACAACATCCCCGGCCCCCCTGCAGCGCGTCTGGCAGGCGTTGGGTGCGCCGCTGCACCAGAGCGTCCTGCCCAGCCGCAGCCTCTCGGCTGCCTCCCTTCCCGCATCCCACTGCGCATGGGACCCTTGGGAGCAGAGCTGATATCAAAGCATGTTAGCTTCAAAGTTTTACTTTTTTAAAGCTGAGGAAAGATTTCCCTGTAAAAACAAAACCCTGTAAATCAAGCCTCATATCTGGTATATATTTTACCAAACAGCCTTAAAATATATTTGGAAGCAAAAATCAGTACGAATGTATCTCCTTGAAAAATGCAAAAAAAAAAAAATTCCCTGACATATTCTTCTATAAATGAATCCTATTTCCCCAGAGTATTCAAAGCATTTTTCTACCTAAATAAATACCTAAATCTTGAGTAGTGTACAGTAATAACGCCTCTTCCTATATCCACTCTGTTATGTTAAAACCAATGTATCTGAAAGTATTGGCATTTTAGACTTTTAAAATGCTGTATGATTTCAGATGAACTCTGCTGTTTAGAAATAACCACAGAAAAGCGAAGTCAGTGCACACTCCCAGTGAAAGGAAAAGTAACACGGCTCTGTATCCTGGATCTGTTAAACAGACACGCCACCTCCTCACATCGTCCTACGTACGGGCAGCTGATATGTTTAAGTCGTTTCCTTGAACTTACACAAAACATATAAAAACAAACTGTTAAGGCAGACAATAATAATTTGTCTTAGATCCCAGATTCAATGATCCCTGCTTAAAGAAAAACATGCCCTGGCTATGGATTGATTTCTTATGTTTTGTAAATTCATTGTTATTTTACAATCCCCAAAAGTCTTGGCCTAAAACCATCCCTAAGTGAGCAGATTAACCTACCACTAAATCACACAGGGGTTGGTGACTCGACTTGGTGAATGTGCACATGCCCTGCTTGGTCCGCCATGTTCCAAAGATGATGATTCAATGGTAGAACGGATACCTGCTGCTAGACCTGATGGAATGTTACCTGTCCGCGTTACATAACCAAGTGCAATATACTCAGTTCTCACGCAGGTGACATTCTACCATGAAACGCAGAAGATAAGCCATGTTTGTGTATTGTACATGTAAAGAAAAATAAAACTGTTTATGATACTTGTGTTAGTCACTCAAGCTAGCTTATTTCAGCCACTTCTAGCAGATACATACCATGGAGCTCACCATGTGACCATTTCATATTTAAAATATAGTTCTAATAAAGGAGTACACATCCTTTGGAAAACATGGCTGAAATAATGATGCATGATGTTCTAGGAACATCATCCTAGAGAACGTGATGTTCGCTATAACCCCATACCCGCATTCCCTAAAGATACGGCCCACAACGGGTGAAGCCCAGACACTTTCTTTATACCCAACAAGTTGATCCTGCTGTGTTGAAGGCTTTAGTTAATAAAACACAAGTATGATAAACAGGACTTAGCATTTAACCCAGGAAAGGAGGATGCTGCTCGTCAGCCAGTGCTTTCCCCGTAACGCACCTCATGCGTCCTCACGTGTTGTTACTGTGTTTGAAGTAAAGCGAGTTGTTATCAATGACAGTTTTTACATTTTTCTCAGCAAATTTACATGACCATCTTAAAATGGTATATAAAAAAATGAACTGTTTATGATACCAAAAAAAATAGTTTTGTTTAAAAGGAAATATTGATGTTGTCAACTCCAATTCTAAAAACTTCAGGCACTGAATGGAAAGGCATATGATCAGATAAAAGTATCAATTACATGGAAGGTTATCTGGGTTTTTTTCTTCTTAAAAAAAAAAAAAAAAAAAGACAACAAAATCAGTGCCCTGCTAAGTGGAGGGAATTTCTCCCTACTGGCTCTTACCAAAGTGGCCAGATTGATGATTAGAAGACACAGTGGCAGAGCACACACGAGCACGGATTCTGGTTCCTTCTCTTGGACTGCACGTCCTTGTGCCCCTGTCTTGATTTTTGCCTTTTTGATGCCGTATTACGCACCACTCTTTGCAGCCCTTCATTAGAAGGCCCTGCATTCGTAAATCCGCTCATCTCTGTTCTTGTTACGTCCTTGTAGGCATTGCTACTCCGATCTGGGGTGGAGTTTCACAGGAAAGTGAAGGGATGCCGGAGGCCTGCAGTGTCCACGGAATGTGCTCTATTAGGGACAGCTCTCCGGTTTGGGCCAAACCTTTTGGGCGCAAGTAGGGAGTAGGGGAGGCGGGTCTGAGTCTTCCTCAGGAAGGCCTTTTCTATCAGCAGGACCTCCATCCAGTCAGGCCATCCTGTGGTCCTGAGCATTAAGGGGCCAGGGGACCTCCTGCGAGACGCAGCTCAGGACCACAGGATGGCTTGACTTGATGGAGATGTAAGAGGGTGTGCGCTGATACAGACATAGAAGCGTTACCCCAAACAGCACTGGTTCAGGGAGGGCACCTGGATGCTGCATTTGGCCCCCCACACGTCTGAAAACTGGACTCGCCTCACCTACGAGCACAGAAACAAGCTCCCCCAGCACAGGCCTAAGTACCAAATTCCACGTGGTTTGTGCCTGCTCACTTCCCAGCCCCCTTCTGCTCAGGCCTGAACTTCACGTTTCTTCTGACCGCACATTTAACAGGCTAGTTTAAAACAGCGGTTTCAGGCCACACCCCCTAGAATGTTGGAGGGTTCCCTCGTTTTCGTCTGCATGTCTGTCTGCACTTCTTTGTAGGCATGGGTTGAAAACTTGAAAATAAAAGGTTCCAAAACTTGAAAACAGAAAATCACGAGCTTAAGAGATGAAAAAGATGACCCCTTTCCCATCAGTATCCGTAACTCTCTGGGCTAGGGCCACGCACCGCGCGTCACCTGGCGCCGTGTGTCAGCCGTAGCGCACACCACCCAAGGTCAGATCAGACCCCCGGCTTCCCTGCGGGAGGCCCGTCTTCTTGCTTTTAGTTGGGAGTTGCAATGCATCATTGGCCATAAAGTGCTGAAGGAAAGGGTTGCTTCTATGCATTCAGCTGAATGTCCCCCAGCACAGGGTGGCAGCACAATGTTCTGGAAATGAAGGAGATGTTGCTAGGAATCTCTAGGCTGTTTAATCAGGCAACGTGGCTCTGATTCACCCTTAGCCAGCAGCTCAGCCCACTTTTTCCTCTATGTCTCAATTGTTTTCTCTAGACAGGGGATTACAGTTCCTGCCCCTGTGTCCCTCGAGGACACGTTGTGAGGATTAGTGACATATTGGTTCTAAGTCCTTCGAGCTCCTGGAACAGGTGGTGAAAGTTTGAGTTATTGCTCAAGATTAGGCCCTGGCCTCTTGTGGAATGCCACCCTCCAGCTCTACAGGGACCACCAGAGGCAGAGGCCGTGAGACTGTCTTTGGAAAGGTTTGGAAATGGGGAAATAACTACAAGGGGCATTCTCCTAGCTTCTGGCTTTGATTTTAACCATTTCTAGATGCTTCCGAGAACAAGAACCCAGCACCGGCCAGAATCAGGCCACGTTTTCACCATTACTTAAACTCAGTTGCCTCTTAGATGAAATGAGGAGATAAATGAAGCATTTAAGGGATGAAGGGAAAAAAATAATTTGGAAGCAGGTAGCTGCATGCATGGGAAACAGCAAAAACCAAATCAGGCACACTGGCTCCAACCACGGAGAGTCTGAGGATCCGCCACCAATTCCCTCCTTCACAGAATGCAGAGGTGGTCATAATTCCTCTACTTCAGAGAACGCAGACGTGATCTGTGGGAAAGCTCCAGGAAATAACCATCTTTCATCCTTGCCACACTGAAAAATGTCCGTCATTTTATTAGCTGCTGTCCTAACCCTGGCGTTTTTATCTAGTGTTAAAATAAATTATTTCAAGTTTCAGTGTAAACACTTAACAGATGACTTCTTTGCAGAGGAAATGTTCGTTACCTACTATCAAAGTACTTTTTAACAGATTTTGTATATACACACACTAAGGTGACAGAGGTTCACCTCCCTACTTTCTTAGATTTTATGTAATTCTTTTCATTGGTGCTTATTCAGGACCTGAAAGCCTTGGGCATCTAAGCTTTCACCTACTCACTGGAGGAGTGGTGATAATGAATGAAAAAATTGACACCAGGTTTCTCAGACAAATTTAAGTACAAATTTCTCTCTCAAATAGACCGTAGCCTCCCTAGAGAGTGTGTTGGTTTGTGTCTGCCAGTACAACAAAGGATGCTCCCAGCTTGACAATGGTACCTTACGGAAGCCACTCACCCATTCTCTGATTTACCCCCCAAACACCACCATGACCCAGCCCCACTCATTTGAATATTACAATCATATCACTTTCAAAGGGCTCAGCATGAATGTCTCCCTCACTCCACACTCTAACTGGTTTGCTGAACTCAACAAAGCTTCCCCTTAAGAGCAGCAAGGGGGAAGGCTCCTTGCTAATGGTAAGCCACTTTGCTCTCAGACAGGACGGGTCTTCCCTGCAGAGACACACCACTCATCCCCCACCTTCCATACTACAGACCAAAATACCCAGGTGTGGCCTAAGGACTACATTAAATGCCTCCTATAGAAATTCAAGGAATGTTAAAACCAGGAAACTAGGTGTTTAGTTCAAATTTTTAAAAAGTATATAAATATATATATATATATATATATAAAATATGAAATCATATCGAGCGTGAGGATGAACAGAGTGCCAAATACTCAGCATCTGTACAAAGTCACTTGACTGGAATTAAACTATTTTATGTAATTCTCTTTCTCATGCTTTTATGGTTCTTTTGATCAATTCTATTTAGTAGCATGCAGGATACCTGATCTGAATGTGCAATCTGCTATTCATCACCACGATTTCTTACTTCTTAATAACTTAGCAAAATGTTGGTCATTCCTTTCAGGCATTTAAGGATTGCTTTCTTTGTGTTCTTTTTTCCATGACTTTTTTCACTCTCAGCTGACTGTAAGAAAATATGCACCATTTCCTCCATAACCTCCTGTGATAATGCTCCATCTGATTTCTGTATCGCTGATGTTCACCTCCTGTAAATAGTTCTGCAATTAAATTTTTTGAGAAAAGTAATGTTTACTTTTTTATTGGAGTGAATTCTCGTGTTATTTTAAACTCAGAAAAATTATATAGACCAAAGAGTTTTATCCGAAAAAAAAATTACACTCTTCCTCCATTATATATTTCATTGTTGAAATATCCTCAATTTCTCTCTATTTTAAGAAGTAATGGACATTTACTAAGGCTACAGATTTAATATGTATGCAAAAATGGTATAGATTAAATGAGTTTTTAATTAATAAATCCTACAGTATTTAGTTAATGGCTGTTTTACACTCTTTTGAGTTGCACTGAAAAGAGACACACATTAGCTCACTGGACCACACAGATCTAGGCTCCAGTGAGACAGGTGGGATGTGGACTTGGCGATGAAACTCCAGGAGGACAAGTGGGTCCCAGTCCCCACTGCGCCTGCAGATGCCAGGAAGCAGTGTGAGCCTGTCCCTCCAGGGAGGTGGACCGGTCTGGGAGGTGACCAGTGTGGGAGGTGACCAGTCCGGGGCGAGATGACCAGTCCGGGGGGAGGTGTCCAGTCCAGGAGGTGACCAGTCCAGGAGGTGACCAGTCCAGGGAGGTGGACCCCTCTGGGGAGGTGGACCAGTCCGGGAGGTGACCAGTCCGGGAGGTGACCAGTCTGGGAGGTGACCAATCCGGGAGGTAACTAGTCTGGGAGGTGGACCAGTTGCGGAAGTGACCAGTCCGGGAGGTAACTAGTCTGGGAGGTAGATGGTCTGGGGAGGTGGACCGGTCTGGGAGGTGACCAGTCCAGAAGGTGACCAGTCCGGGAAGTGGACCAGGTGGGGAGGTAGACTGGTCTAGGGAGGTGGACTGGTCTGAGAGGTGACCAGTCAGGAGAAGTGACTAGTGAGGGGAGGTGGACCAGTCCAGGTAGGGGACCAGTTCAGGGAAGTGGACCAGTCCAGGGAAGTGACCAGTCCGGGGAGGTGACCAGTCCGGGGAGGTGACCAGTCTGGGAAGGTGACCAGTCTGGGAAGATGGACCAGTCTGGGAGGTGACCAGTCTGGGAAGGTGGACCAGTCTGGGAGGTGACCAGTCCGGGAGGTGACCAGTCCGGGAGGTGACCAGTCTGGGAGGTGACTAGTCTGGGGAGGTGGACCGGTCTGGGGAGGTGACCAGTCTGGGAAGGTGGACCAGTCTGGGAGGTGACCAGTCCGGGGAAGTGACCAGTCCGGGAGGTGACCAGTCCAGGTGGTGGACCACGCATCACCACTCTATTGGAGCAATCACTCCCTGCCTTCCACCTCCTTGATCAGTTGCACCTGCACTTCTTTCTCTTGCTTGTGACCAGCCAGTCTCACCCCCAGCAGTGAGAAATCCTGCTGCCTCATGTCTCTGCGCCTTCTCCCCACACAGTCCTTGCCTGGATACTCTGAGTGTCGCTCTCCAGTCTCCCCAGCAGCACCATGCCCTCTGGAGGGTGACTCTCACCCAGTGCACATCAGGATTGTGCTTCCTGCACTTTTTTTCATGCTGTTTTCCTTCCTTACCCTACTGTGTCCTCAATGATGTTTTGCAGTAAGATCATCACAGAGGTTTGGTGAAAAAAGGGTCTCTAATGAATTTCAGAACTGGGAAGGCCATTTTCTAATTCCCCCCGGTGAGTTATATACCAGTGGTTGAGAATTGCTACAGAAGTATGTGAATACTGGTGTAGCAGGACTGTTCAGGAAATGGAACCCACTCTCAAGTTCTGTTTAACTTGCTCAATTACAATCATGATTTATAAAAGTTTCCAGCTAAGAAATTCAATTGAGAACATGAATCTAACCAATCGAGAGCATATTAGCATTTATACGTCTTTTCTATACCGTATTTCTTTTTATGACAGACTTATAACCAATAAAAGCAAAGCCTTCTATGTTTTTCTTTTTTAATCCCATAGTCCTTCAATAAACGTTTTAACTTACTTGGCCTTCCATTTGAAACTTTATACCTTCATCCTCATGTAGTCAAACATTATTTCTCAGAAGTGGTATAAGTACAAATAAATTATTATGGAATTCATTTTAAACTATGACAAGATAATTTATGGAACCTTTTAATTAAAAACCAAGGGACCAGTACATGAGAATTTCTGGCCATACCATCCCAACCAGAAAAAAGTGCAAGCTGAAAATCAGCAATTGTTTGTAGATTCTCATCAGAGAACAATGTCACAGGGCAAATAGCCCCCCCATAATGAAAGAGACAGACAGAGGGACACAGACTCACAGCCCACTGAGCAAATGCCCAAGGACAAAAACCTCTGTGGCATTTAATAAGGCCAGAGGTTCAGCATGGACACACCCAAGGATTAAAACTTCAGGGGGCCCTGTCTTAGAACACCCCCCACAGCTTGTGAGCTTCGCCTCCAGGAACACCCCAAGTTCTCAGGGTGTAGATCAGAGAAAAATGCTCTTGTGTTTCCAGCAGGTGGAAGGAAAGTAGCCATATGGAAGTATGTCCAGAGCATCTGTTCACCTTAAAAAAGGCCGTCGACGACAGGGCCTAACAGACAGACTTGGGGTTCACCAGAGCCTGACATATGTAGGGGAAGGGGGACAATCATCGGGTAAGAGAAAGCTTCCCCTCCCCATACATCTCACCATCCCATCAATAGCACTTTTGTATTTAAAAAAAAAAAAAAAAGCTGGGGGATGTGGGCAGGCCAGGTATGGAGGCTCACACCTGCAAGCCCGGCACTTTGGGAGGCCAAGGTGAGAGGGTCGCTTGAGCTCGGGGTTTTTTAAAAAGAGACCCAACGACATGCTATCTACCATAAAAATCACTTTAAATATAAAGACGTGGATCAAGAGTGCCGCCACAGAGCAGGATATACCACGCTAACACTAACCCGTAGAAAGCTGCAGTCACCCATTACCACCAAACAGGGCACCCTTCAGACAAGGAGTCTCCTCCAGGGTACAGAAGGATGTGGCGTAATGATCAAGAGGCCAGTTCTCCAAAAAGATGTGATGGTGTTCAACATGCCTGGCCTAAAATCAGTGTCTACTGACACAAAAACTGGCAAAACTACAAAGAAAGATAAATCCTACTGTTGCGTTTAGAGAGCTCAGCTCCCCTCTGCCAGTCACCGACATATCCAGCGGGCAGGAAATCAGGAAGGACACAGCTGACCTCAACAGCACCGCCGCGTCCCTAGCTATAATGAACACTCATGCCCTACTTCATCCAACTACAGCAGAACACACATGCTTCCCAAGCTCACGGGAAGACAGGCCACACTCTGCTCTAACAAATGTGAAAGAAGAGAGCCATGCAGTGCATACACTTTCAATTCCACAATGCAGTGAAACAAGAAATCAGTCACTGAAAGATAGCTGGAAAATCCCAACACGTGAGATTAAACAATGCACTTTTATTAACACATGGATCTACAAGGAAGCCTCAAGAGAAATGTAAAGATATTTAAACTAAATGTAAATAAAAACACAATATATGTAAATTTGTGGGATGCAGCAAAAGCAGTGCCTGGGAGAAATTCATAGCATTCAAAGCCTGTATTAGAAGAGAATGATCATCGAAAACCATTTAGATTTCAACTTTAGGAGGCAGTTAAATCCAAAGTAAGCACAGGAATATAAATTAATAAAAATCAGAGCAGAAATCAATAAGATTAAAAGTAGGAAACAGGAAAGTAATGTAATCAAAAGCCAGTGCTTTGTAAAGATCAATGAAATTGATAAACCTCTAACCCAGCTAAGAAAGAAAGAGAGAGAGAGAGAAGGAAGTGACACGATTTACTAATATTAAAAATGAAAGGCCAGGTGCCATGGCTCACATCTGTAATCCCAACACTTTGGGAGGCCAAAGTGGGCAGATCACAAGGTCAGAAGTTCAAGAGCAGCCTGAGCAACATGGTGAAATCCTATCTCCACTAAAAATACAAAAATTAGCCGGGTGTGGTGGCGCACCTCTGTAATCCCAGCTACTTGGGAGGCCGAGGCAGGAGAACTGCTTGAACCCGGGAGACAGTGGTTGCAGTGAGCTGAGATCATGCCAGTGCACTCCAGCCTGGGTGACAGAGTGAAACTCTGTCTCAAAGAATGAAAGAAAAAAAAATACTACAGATCCATGAACATTAAAAGGATAACAAAAGAATGTCATAGGGCCAGAGATGGAGGTTCACACCCGTCATCCCAGCACTTTCAAAGACTAGAGCGGGAGGCTTGCTTGAGGCCAGGAGTTAAGAGACCAGCTTGTGTAACATAGTGAGACTCCATCTCTACTAAAAATTCAAAAACTTAGCCTGGCATAGTAGCATGCACCTGTAGTCCCAGCTACTAGGGAGACTGAGGCAGGAGGATCACTGGAGTCTGGAGGGTCAAGGCTGCAGTGAGCCCTCACTGCACTCCAGCCTGTGTGATGGATGGATGGATGGATGGAAGGAAGGGAGGGAGGGAGGGAGGGAGAGAGGGAGGGAGGGAGGGAGAAAATTTTATAAACAACTTAATGTCTATAAATTAGATAACTTAGATGAAATGGACCCATTCCTAGGAAGATACAATCCAACAAAATCCACCTAAGTATAAACACATATTCTGAATAGGACTATATTTATTAAAGAAATTGAATTAATAATCTCCCCAAACAGAAAGCACCCAGACCAGATGAGGTCACTGGCGAGTTCCACCAAACTCATCAAAGCTGTAAGATTGATGTTCACACTGCCGGGTGCAGTGGCTCCTGCCTGTAATCCCAGCATGTTGGGAGGCCAAGGCAGGCAGATCACCTGAGGTCAGGAGTTCAAGACCACTGTGGCCAACATGGTAAAGCCCTGTCTCTACTAAAAATAGCAAAAATTAGCTGGACACAGTGGCAGGTGCCTGCAATCCCAGCATTAGGGAGGCTGAGGCAGGGAAAATCACTTGAACCAGGAAGCAGAAGTTGCAGACCCCCATAAATGCAGTCAACTGATCTCTGACAAAAAAACAAAAGCAAGTCAGTGATCAAAAAAAAAAAAAGTTTTTTAAACAAATAGTGCTAGAACA